GGGGGCCGGTGGGTGTGGGGAGAGAGCACCATCAGAGGCCAGAAGGCCATGCCCAGTTGTCCCTTCCCTGAGCACACCCCCCCCCCATGACCCACCACAGCATGCAGAGGCCCCGCACCCACCCTCCCACTGAGCACACGGATGGCACCCAGTACTTGTGTCGAGTGAAGGATGCCTTGTGGGAGAACTGCACCCCAGCACTCCAGCAACAAAGAACTAGCCTTCCCACTAGCCCCCTGTCATCCGACTCGTAGCAGCGCAATACAGGAGCCCGGGTGGCACGGTGGTTACTCAGGGGGCTGCTCACCACAAGGTCGGTGGTTCGAAACCACCAGCCGCTCAGAAAGGAAAAGAAGAGGCTTACTGCTCCCTTGGAGACTCATAGCCTCGGATTCCCAGAGGAGTCAGGTCTACCCCGCCCCGTGGGGTCATTAGGAGATGGCATGGGCTCAATGCCAGTTTAGTGAAATGGCCGGGGGGCAAAGATGGCTTGCCCGGCACTAAGTAGGGGCTGGTGCACCAGGCCTGTCCCGCAGTGCTGTGGAAGAAAGGGGTGGCGATCCGCCCCTGCGGAGATTACAGCCCAGGAAACAGCGGTCCTACTTGGCAAGCACCCGGGTAGGAACCAGCTGCCAGAGACCCCGCCCACTTTGTCCCCCGGGTGGGAGGAGCCGCTGCCTGGCCCCGCCCCCTCCCTGGACTGGCTGGCCGCAGACCAGACGTCAGTGGTTTCCGGAAGCGGGCCTTTCTTCGGGGCCTGTCCGAGTCTGGAAAGAGGCTCCCTGGACACCTGCTCCACACACAGCGACCGCCAGCCTCCACTGACAGACGGGGCCCTGGCCGGGAATCGAACCCGCAGCTCACGCGTGCAAAGTGAGGAGTCTCCCACTGACCCACCGCCGTCCCTGCTAGCTGCCTGGACCCAGTACCGTTGAGTCGATGCCCTATGCGACAGACGTGTCGTGGGCCCAAAGGAGGGGACTGAGCCGCCTCAGGTTTCCAAGCCCATGAATCTTTCCGGGAGCAGACCGCAGCGCTTTTCTCCTCCGGAGAGCTGGGCGGGTTCGAACTGCTGACCTTGCAGGGGGCAGTTCACAAAGAACCCCGGGAAAGTCACTCAGGAAGACAGGCAGGAAGCAGTGACGCCCCTGGCAGTGCCGACGACAGACAAGGGAGTGCATCGGGGGTCCCTCAGCTGCAGTGGGGGAGAGACCCCCTGCTCTGGCCCTGGTGAGTGAGGGTGACTGCCCACAGCGGCTGTCCGACAAGCCAGGACAGCTTCCCCTGTGTCTGGGCTGGCCCCAACTCCACCTCCATCTCTCCTCCAGCAGCCCAGAGGGTCCTATTAAAATGCAGCTGGCCAGGGCGCCCTCTGCTTCGTTCCCCCTGATGCCCCCACAGGGCCCATCTCTCTGACCTCACCCCTGACCCTACAAACCACTCTGGGCTCCATGCTGCTAACACCTGCAGGCTGCAGGAGCAGGTGTGCAGCCACCAGCTGGGAGCCCCCTCACCCTCTCCTACCTCCTACCCCTTAAGCCGCTTGTCCCACCAGCAGCCCTTCCCCAGCCCTCCCTACCAGGCTCCCCGCATCGCTGGCCCACCTCATACAAACACTTGTGTGTCCCAGAGAGCAGGGACAGTGTTGGGCTCCCAGCTGTGTCCCCTGCAGCAGTGCCTGGCACAGACAGCCCACAGCGCCTCATTCCATGGGACAAGCCTTTCCTGAGGCCCTCATGTGCCACCCTTTCATCATCCCCCAGGACAGGGCCTCCCTCCCTCCCTCCCCGTCTCAGAAGTCAGGAACTTCTCTCTAATGGTCTCTCTGTCCCTGCCCCGAGTCTCTGCTGGGGGGTGTCCCAGCACCTGACTCCGCCCTGCTGCTCTGTCTCTACCTGCTTCTGCCTCAGTCGGCCCGTCTCCCTGCGTTTTAACCACCAGTGGCTGAGGCTTTGGCAAGGGCTGTTCCCTCTGCTTGACATGCTGTTCCCTGCTGTCTGCCTGGTAACCTCCTTCCTACTCATCCTTCAGGACCCAGCACAGGCTCATCCTCCAGGAAGCCAATGCTCTTTCCCTGTGGATCCCAGGGAGAGGTGTCTCCTCCAGCTCCCTCCAGGACTTCCCCCAATGCTGCCCTGATCACGGGGGCGAGGCTGGGGTCCTGCAGGCTCCCAGCATGGTCAGCCTCCAAGCCATTTGAGGAGGAAGCACACGCTCAAAAAGCCCAGGTCCCAAAGGCCCAAGTGCAAGCTGCACTGAGGGCGCTGTGGAGCGGAGCAAGGCTCCGGGCACTTACAGGACATTCATGGAAATGTTTCAACTCAGGGAAGCCGCAGTGCCAAGCAATCTGGAAGAGGGCGACCTTGTCAACCCCTGGATGAGATCCCAGTCCCTGCCCATTCTGAAGGAAGGTGATCCGACAGCACAATCCGGGTGTTAGCAGAACGATGATCAATGTCACACTGTTAGGGACGGAATGGTACAAGCCCCACCTCCTCCCCTGCCCCTCCCCAGTATGTGCCACTGTGGCTGGGCTGTGGCTCTCAGTGAGGGGTGTGTGCTCAGGTAATGATGTGATATGAACACCCCGCCCCCCCCCCATGGTGTGGCCATTGCAAGAAGCCGGTAAAAGGATTAAAGGCAGTGCATCTTTCCATCCCTCCATCACTGTCCTGATCCAATGCTGGGGAGTGTCCTTAAGGTATGGCTTTTTACCTTCACAAGAGGTGACAGGAGAGAACTCGGGGGGCATGAGGGGCACTCACACAAAGAAAGAAGAGTGGAGTGGAGTGAGTCCTCTGAACCTGGGGTCCCTGTATTGAGAAGGTTCTAGATCGGGGCAAGGCTGAGGCCAGGCTAGGCAGCGATCTCCAAGGAATGCCCTGCCTCCTCCCAAACTCACTGCCACTGAGTGGATTCTGACTCACAGTGACCCTACAGAACAGGGTAGAACCTCCCTTGCGGTTTGCCAAGCCTGTAGTAGAAAGCCTCATCTCCCTCCAGATGAGCTCCTCACGGGTTTGAACGGGTGACCTTGCAGTGAACAGCCCAACGAGGAACCCACTCTTGCCACGAAGGCTCCTCAAATCCAGGGCCTGCAGATGCTGAACGGAGACAGGGACTTTCCTCTAACGGGAAGAGAGGAGAGCGCGAGAGAGCCTTCCTCAATTGGGTCCTTGACATTTGGACTTCTGGCCTCCTCACCTACCTGGACATATAATCAAGAGGGACCAGTCCCTGGAGAAGGACCCCACGCTCGGTGAAGCAGAGCTTAAGGAAACAGAGGAAGACCGTCTGAGAGATGGCACAGTGGCAGGAACGATGGGTTCAGCACGGCTCTGATCAGGAGGATGGCTTGGGACAGGGTGGTGTTTTGTTCCATTAAACACAGGGTCGCTGTACATTGAAACCACCTCCAGGGCACCACAGCCACATCCCCCTGCATCGACGAGACTGGGATCCCTGGCAGGGCAGATCCGGCTCCTCTTAAGGTTGCCCTCCCTGCCCAGCACAGGCTGGGTGGTTGGTTGGTCAAGGGCGGCCCTAAGACTCCACTCTTGGGACGCTGCCTCTGTTCTTGCCTAGGGCAAACTGTACCTCCTTTCAGGCCCTTGTACTGCCCTCACATCCCGACCAGCTGGGCAGTGACTGTCTGGGTTTGTTCTCAGCACACTGAAGATCCCCTTCAAAGCAAGAGCTGGGCATTCCCTAACTCCATGCCCCAGCAAGGTGACAAAGCCAGAGGGGTAACAGCCCCAGGCCCTGGACAAGGCCCCACCTCTGACTTCACACCACTGCCCTGCAGGGTCTACAATGCCCACTATGACTTCACCCAGTTGGCCTGGGAAAGGCATCAGAGGGTTGCCCCGGGCTACCAGGTCTTTTGTATCCACTGTGACCCTGGGCCCTCAGTCCTTTCACGCCCACCAGGCCCTCCCCTCCTGGGAGGACCTCCAAGCTCAACCATGTCCCGAGCATCCACTGGACCGTCCGTGCCCACCATGTCTCCTCAGCCTCCTGGTGCCGCCTCGGGGCCCAACTCGACCGTGAGCCCCAGCAGTTCCAAGTCCACCCGGTCAGCAGGCACCAAGCCACCTTCTAAGCAGCCCGGCAGCAAGTCCAGGACCCCCAGCAGGGCCAGCACGGACACCAAAGCCAGCAAGGCCGGCCGCTCGAGGCGCCGCCGACAGAGGAGTGCACAAAGCAGGGGCCGGACTCCCGGCAGGAGGGGAAGCCGGAAGTCCCAGAGGTCCCCCAGCAGGGCCAGCACCCACAGCAGGGTGAGAACACCCAGGGCTCGAGTGGGCCCGGCCGGCAGGATGAGAACGCCGACTGTCCAGCACAAACACCGCGGGGCGAGGAGTCACAGCCGGCCCAGAACCGCCACTCAGGCCAGGAATGCCAGCCCGTCTGGGACGGTGAGCAGGGAGAAGAGTGACAGCCCCCCAGGGGCCTCAGGGATGGGCAGCAGTTCTGGGCTGGCCGCTGTCCCCAGCAGGGCCAAGAGTTACAGCCCCGCGAGGCCTGCCACCAAGGAGAAGAGCTACAGCCAGTCTCTACTGTCACCAAGGAGAGCGAGGAGTTCGGGTCAGACGGTCACCCCCAGTGAGGAAAGGAGTTACAGCCCGTCCAAGATGTCCAGTGGGGCCACGAGTGACAACCAGGCCAGGAGCCCCAGCAGGATGAGAAGTCCCAGCGGGTCTCGGACCCACAGCAGGACCCGAAACCTCAGCTGGTCCAGGAGCCCCAGCAGAGTAAGAAGTCCCAGCGGGTCTCGGACCCACAGCAGGACCCGAAACCCGAACAGGTCCAGGAGCCCCAGCAGAGTAAGAAGCTACAGTCGGAAGAGAAGCCATAGCTGGGCCAGAAACCACAGCTGGAGCAGCAGGAGCAGAAGCCGGGCCCGGGAGAGTTCCTCGAGCCAGTCTGGGACCCACGGCAAGGGGCCAAGTCGTACCTCCCTGAGAAGGCCCAGGAAGGAGCGAAGAAGGCAGAGCCCGTCTAGCAGCTCCAGCGACGACGACCCAAGTCCCCGCTGGCAGAGAAGCCCCAGCAGGAGGTGCCCCAGCAGATCCAGAGCACGCAGCCCATCGCGAACTGCCCGCAGGTGGAGAGAGTCCAGCGCAGTGGGAAGACGCAGCAGCGAGAGCAGCCCCGACCAATCTAGAACACCCATCAAGAGACGCTATCACAGGCCAGCTCGACCCAACACCTGGGAGCGCCATCACAGCCGCTCTAGGACCGCCAGCCCCAAGCGAGGCTGCAGCGGCTCTAGCATGCCCAAGGATGAAGGAGGCCACAGCCAATCTACCACCTCCAGCCAGGAGAACACGCACAGCCAGGCTAGAAAGCCCTCGAGGAGGGCAAGGAGTCCCAGTGAGGCCCGAACCCCCAGCGAGACCTGGAGCCCGTCGCCGTCGAGAACCCCCAGCAGAGCCCCAGTCCTTGGACAGGAGGTGGCTCGGGCCATCGCCAGCACCACCACCAAGCCGAAGACCACTTCACCTGGGGACAAATCCTCCTCGTCGTCTTCTAAGCTGGCGTAGCCCCCGGTCTCCGCTGGCTCACGGGTCTCTGTCATGGCCGGGGAAGGGGACAGGAGACAGGAGAGAGCAGCAGCTGGGCAGTGTCCGACCACCCCGGCCAGCTCTCCACAGCCACACCTCCGGCCACAAGGGCTTCTCTGACGCAGACTGTTGGCAGGTTGAGAGGGATACTGGGTAAGGGGAGAGAAAAGGCCCGTGTTGACCCAATACATTTTTACATATCACCCTCCACCCTGGCCCAGATCCAGCTGTGGGGTCTGCCCCATGGGGGGGTGAGGGGGCCAGGTTTGGGGGGGATGGGCAGCAGTCGGGGGGAGACAAAGATGGCTGTAGATCCCCGCCTGCCTGACCTTGGCTTCTCCGAGGGCTTTAGTTTCCCCATCTGGGCACCACGGTGCTCAATGGCCCTGCACTCTCCCAGTAATCCCCGGCTCCTGGTGCAGGGGCCAACTGGGTTGAACAAGGGCCTTAAGCGGCTGAACTGGGGGGAGGTCTGGGATTGGGAGGACACGCCAAAGTGGCAGTTGCAGGTAGGGATCACTGGGGAGTGGGGGCGGGGGGGGGCGAATGATCAGGAAGTATTTCGACAGCCAAGCATGGCCAAGGCCGACCCCGGGTTGTGAATGTCAGCCCCGTTCTCCCTGGATTTAGTCTGTCCAGGCTGCAGTATCGGCCCCCGGTGGCCCTCCAGTGTGGCTTCAAGCAGAGCGGTCTTAACGTTCTCCAGCAGGTTCCTGTTCTTTTGAGAAAGGGCTTCTCCTTTTAACCAGGTTAGGCCAGAGACCCTGAGCCCCCACTGCACAGACCAAAGGACGGGGAGCCTGTGGAATAAACAGCTAGCTCTGGGTCGTGCTAGCTCGTGGGCCCTGGCTCATCCCGGAAGCCTAGATATAATGACCTCATAAAACAGTGGTCTCGCTCCATGAAAGGTTTCTGGGGGTACCAATCTAGTTATGTTTTTAGTACAGACTGCCAGTATGTGGTAGGGAGTCCATGAACAGGGGCTGTTACGCAAACCCTGCCCCCATCATCTGCTGTAGCCCAGCCCTTCCACATCCTGGCACTTTCCAACGTCCTCTTGGCCCTTGTCTACCTGGAGGGCTCCTACTCACCCTTCAAAGCCCACATCAAACCTGACACTCTACTTCTTCCCAGCCCCAACACTGCATCTTTCCCGAAACTTTCCCTGACTCCTTTCTCTGCCTCCTCACCCATCCTGGAGTCACCTTTACTTTCATACGAGCGCCCCCATTTCCCATTAGGCTGCCGTCCGTAAGGTCAGCAGTTCAAGACCACCAGCCGATCCTTGAGAGAAAGTCAGGGCTTTCTGTTCCCGTAAAGAGTTAGTCTTCGGCAACTCACAGAGGCAGTGCTACCCTGCCCTATAGACATCAGATGGCAGTGAGTGAGTGAGTGTGCCCTGAAAGGAGCCCCGGGGCACAGTGTTCAAGCACTTGGCCGCTAACCGCAAGGCTGTCAGTTGGCGCTGTGGGGAGAGACATGGTGGGCTGCTTCGGTAAAGATTACAGCCTTAGGAATACCTCGGGACAGTTCTGCTCTGTCAGAATGGACTCCACCACAATGGGGTGGGTGAGTTTGGGGGACTCCCTGAAGGTGAAGAACCACGTGAGCAAGTGAGCAGTCCGACTTGGCAGGATCAACTTCACCTCCTACACGCCCAGGCCTGTGCTGGGAGCTCCGGAGCCTGGGCGTGGTGGTTACTGCCTTGAACTGCTGACCACAAGGTTGGCTGTTCTCACCCACCACTCGCCCCTTCTGAGAAAGATGAGACTCTACTTCGTTCAGATGACCAGCAGCTTTTTCCAGAGTGGGTGATACTGCCCTCTAGAGGTGCTGGAAGGATCAGGGGGAGGAGCCGTAAAAACAGATAATTACACTTTATCCTGGATTATGGACTAGGGCACCAAAGGTTTGACTAGCCAGGGGGATCCCAAATCAATTTTTTTCCCCTGGCTTGAATTTTTTCTCTTGTGAAGCTGAGGACCAGAGGTATTTCCACCTGAGGAATCGAATAGTTCCACTGCAGTTAGCCCTGGCAGCGCAGTGATTGCCAGCTCAACAGGTCAGTGGTTGGAATCCAGCAGCCACTATTAGGAGAAAGATGTGGTCATCTGCTTCCATGAAGATTCCAAAAACAAACACTGCCACCAAGTCAACTCCGCCTCACCTCGACCCTGCAGGATGGAGCTCCACCTCCCCTGCGGGTTTCTGAGGTTGCAAATCTTAATGGGAGCAGACAGCCTCATCTTTCTGAAGCTGGCGGCCTTGAACCATCACTCTGGCTAGGAGACCAATGAGTAATCCACAATGCCACCAAAACTATCAAATCTCACTACCGTGGAGTTGATTTTGACTTTCAACAACCCTATGGGACTAGGTAGAACTGCCCCTGTGAGTTTCCAGGCTGTAACTCTTCAGGGGAGTAGAAAGCCTCCTCTTTCTCCCAGGAAGAGACTGATGGTTTCGAACTGCTAACCTCATGGTTAGCAGCCCAACTTGTAACCCCAACAACACCAGGGCTCCAATAGAGCTCCGATAAGGAGTTTTGCCCTGCCCTAAAAGGTCACTGTGAATCACAATCAACTGGGCAGCAAAGGCTTTGCTTTCTACCATTAGAAGGTTGGCCAGATTTAGCAAATAAAATCTGATTTTGAATTTCAGACAAACCAACAATAGGGTAATAATGTCACCTGCAATATTTGGGGCATTATTTTCTTAGAATCTTCACTATGCGTTTCCAATTTATCTCACCAATGTACACCAGGGACAACCAGGATTTCCAAGGCTACAATGGGGGCGATGACCATAGGTTTGGCTTCTCCTTCTCCAAACCCGAGGACCTCTGGTCGCGTAGTGGTTAGGCACTGAGTTGCTAACTGCTAGGTCAGCAGTTCGAAACCACCAGCCGCTCCCTCAGAAAGATGAGTCTTTCTACTCCTATAAAGAGTTAGTCTCAGAAACACACAAAGGCAGTGCTACCCTGTCAGATGGGGGTCTCCGTGAGTAACCATGGACTGGCTGGCAGTGAATTTATTTTGGTTTTTATTGGCTTCTCCAAGTCAGCATCACTGATTGCCCCTTCCAAAAACTGCCCCGCCTCTAGTGGACCCATCCCTTGGTGGATAAGGCCTTTCAATCCCGTACGCCAGACACCCCACGATGCCCAAGCCTACAGCAAACATCCCAAGATGCCCCGGGGATACACAATAGGCACCGGTTCCCACAAGTCAGGCGAGGAAGCCAGAGCAGACCTTCATACACTGGAGAAGGCAATTATGGACCAGCTCCCAAATGCGCTGGGGCAGTGCTTCCCAAGGGGCCGCTGGCCCAATCACGATCACGTTCCAGCGTGTCCAGGGTCGAGGCGACGCTTCCAAGGGGCTGGCAGAAAACCCCCCACAAAGAGCCAGGATCAATCCTTCCCCAGCATGCACTCGGCCCATAACGACCAGCAGGCCGCCTCCCACACTCCAACCTTGGCCTAGGCGCCCCGTTTTCCCAGGACGCCCCCAGGAACCGGATGAGGCACGACAGGGGAATGGGGGTCTCGTGCACGAGCCATCGCGGCCCAGGTCCGCTGCCAGCTCCGCCGTGACAGGCCCGTCACTCCCATCATGCAAAGGGCCACGCTGCCCGCTGCCCGCTGCCCGCTACCCAGCATGCCCCGCGCACCGGGCCCGGACACTCACCGGCGCTGGCGGCCCCCGCGCGGGCTCGACGGCGGCGGCTGGGTGGCCCGGCCCGGGCTCTGCGCCTGCGCTGCAAACGGGGTCGGGGGGAGCGCCCGGGGCGTGCAGGGTCTAAGGCGCTTGCGCGTCGAAACGGACCGTGCCTGTCGCGCGCGGAGCAGAGGGGGCCCCCCAGATCTGGCGCGCGGAGAGGCCCGCCCGGGGGCTGCCGGGCTTCGCCCCTCGCTGGCCGGCTGCTCTTGGTACGGTCCGCGGGGCGCCCGGACAGCTGCAGGGCGCGCGCCTGCGTGTGCGGCGCCGGAGCCTCCCGGCCCCCCCTTATAAAAATGGGCTAGGGCGGGGGGCGTCAATTCGATCTGAATCGGCCTTCAGAGGCCTCATTTGCATAATTTTAGCACGGGGCGGTGGCTGGCTTCCTGCTGGAAGGGTTGATTTGCATAGTCCCCGAAGAAGCCCTGCTCCTGAGCGCAGTGATTAGCATAGGGGGAGGGGAGGAGGGGGGGGGGAAGGGTCCGCCCGAGCCATAGCGCCTGCGCACAAGGACTGCGGACTAGCGCGGAAAATTATCCTTGACTTACTTGGGGACCAGTTTGCACCTGGAGAAGGGGTCACTAGGGCCAAAGCCCTTACCACCACTAAGCCCTGCAACCAGGATCAATAGAGGTTTGCAACCAGAATCAATAGAGGTTTTTGGTGGTGTTTTTTTTTCATTTAAAGCGTCAGGCCCTGTACTTAGGTTTTCTGCAGTGAGCAAGACAAACCTAACCCCTGCTCTCTTAGAGCCAGTTAAAAGATCAGAAAAGGGTCAGACCTGGTGGGTAGGGGGATGGATGGTGAAGAATAGGAGCCCTAAGGAGGCGCCTGCTTCAGGCTGCGGGGTAGGCAAAGCTTTTAAGAGGCTGCGAACTTCCAGCCAAAATCAGCCACAGCTCCAAGGGGAATCTTTGTGGCAGATGGAACCGCCAGAGGCCAAGAAAATGCGTGCTTTGAGGAAATGCAAGCCCTTTGGTTGGCCTGAAATCGGTTCCCTTTGCCAGGAAGCCAGGAATAATAGGGAAGTGCTCTTATCAGTGAAATTGGTTGCTGTCAAAGCCATTAGAACTCCAGGATGCCCTGTGTGTCAGAGCAGAACTCTGCTCAGTAGGATTTCTATTGCTGTACCTTTGGGAAATAGATGGCCAGACCTTTCTTTTGAGGCACATTCACCATTCACACCCAGGTTTTTGCACAGATTGATGAGCGTATAAAAGTTTTTCAGCATTCCAGACTTCCAGGAAGCCTTGGTCACAACCCAGATCCACACTCTCCAATGGCATCCTGCTGCACTTAGGAAAATGCCGAACACCTTATCCTGGCTACCTAGGACTGCTTAGGTAGTTCCCCGGTGAGGAATGAGATTCGTTCCTAAGTCCCATGTGTAGGTCAGTTGGAACAGGTCCTGTTATTAGAGCTTCAGGGTGGTTACTCTTTGGGCTGCCACCTACAAGGCCAGCAGTTCAAATCCCCCCACCACCCTGCAGGAGAAAGATGAGGCTTTTTATTCCTTTAAAAAAGTTGCCATCTTGGAAATTCACAGACAATTATACCCTGCCCTATAGGGTCGCATTGAGGGCCTTCCTTGCCTTCACTGCCCCTCTGCTTTACCAAGCAGGATGGCCTTCTCCAGGGACTGGTCTCTCCTGGCAAGATGTCCACAGTGTGTAAGAGACAGTCTTGCCATCTTTGCCTCTGAGGCAGTGGTTCTCAACCTACCTAACGCCTCAACCCTTTAATACAGTTAGTTCCTCATGCTGTGGTGACCCCCCCCAACTATCAAATTATTTTCGTTGCTACTCCATCAGTGTAATTTTGCTACTGTTAGGAATTGGGCTGTGAAAGGGTCGTTCGACCCCCAAAGAGGTCATGACCCACAGGTTGAGAACCGCTGCTCTAAGGAGTATTCTGGCCATACTTCTTGCAACACAGATCTCGGTTTGTCCGTGGTACTTTCAACATTCTTCTCCCAGTCTTCCTTAGTCATTGTCCAACTTTCACATGCCTATGAGGCCATGGAGAATCCTATGGCTTGGGTCAGGTGCACCAGAGTCCTCAAAGTAACATGCTTGCTCATCAATCCTCAAAAGAGGTCTTGGGCAGCAGGTTTACGCAATGCAATTAGGTATTTACCTCATGCAATTCAATGCCATTTATGACTTCATGCTCCTGGCTTCCCACCACTTGTCTGTGAGTTTGTCTAACTGTGGTGGCTTGTGTGTGCAGTGATACTAGGAGTGTCAAGTAGCTAGCTTAGGGACAGGGGGTTGTCCCTCCCATGCCTGCAAAGGCCCCCATAGAAGAGGTTGCAAAGAAAGCAGGCAACCGTTAGACACCTATGAAGACCCCAAACTGAGCATGCTCATGCTCAAGCCCCGGAGCCAGGTAGGAAGTACACCTGGGAAGGCTGAACTAGGCCCAGGCTCATGACATGACCCAGGTGGGCCTAACTCAGCCGTTGGGGGAGCATGCACACATGCCTGCTCTCGTCCTACTCAGGGACCATAGCCTCTTGGCTCACCTGCTTTCAGCCTCTAGGTTCTTGGACTTCTGGCCTCCCGGATCCCCTCCCCACCCCAAGATCCATACGCGTGGGTGCTCTTTTCCACGTGGTTGTTCGGGACCAGTGGTGAACTCCCTTGAAACTGCAAAACCTGAAACTGGCCCTGTCCTTCATAGAAACCCACTGGGATTACAAAACAGGCTTCGGCATAAATTCTTTCATCATGCGAAGCCAAGAACCTAACAGAAGCTATGTCACTGGAATTTCAAATACCAGCAGGTTAGCCCAAAATGATCAAGTTTCAGCGGGGCTTCCAGACTAAGAGCAGACCATGAAACAGGACTCAGTTACCCACTTAGGAGCTTCTAAGTATTGTCAGATACTGAAAGCCCGAAAACACCAAAACCTCTTAAACTTTGTAGGCGTTTAAATTCTAAGCACCTCATTTGCATAAGACCATGGATGGTGCATTCCCTTTGCGCCTTTGACCATGAGATTACTCATGCCCTCAGGCAGAGTGCACCTGGCAGTTAGATGACCTCCACCCTTTTCTAGCCAGCCCAGGGAGGGGCTCTCTCCCTTGGGGGCTTGCCTGGGTGTGTCCTTAATGGAGATCCCTTTACTGGGGGGTCCCCACAGTCAGGAGTCATTCCCTATCAGTTACGTCCTGACTGTCTTGGTTAGATCTATTGTAAGTGCTTCCTTCCAACATTTTGTTTGTGACCCAATCACGGGCCCACTCCTACTTCTGTCATCCCACCTTGAACTGTGAAGCATTGACTGCTGCCTTTGTGACCGTTTCCTGGGTTCCCCTCCATTATTGATGCCTTTATGACCTCCTGCTAGGGGCTTCCCCCATCCAGACCATGTGTTTATCTGTGTCTTGAAGACTTAATAAATGTTCTGCTTCAGTTATATTTGAGGTCGGTGGTCTCATGTAACATAAAACAACATAATACTACAGGATACGAAATAATAATACAGAAGGAAGAAAAATGCATGAGAAGAGAATGTGTGTGTGTGTGTGTGTGTGTGTGTATGCCGGCACACAGGTATACAGTACTATAACACAAAAACAAAACGAAACAAAAACCCAGTTTAGATAGATCAAAAAAGTCACCATTACAAGTGGGCTCTTGTGCCAATCATATGGCAGCTGCTGGGTACCACAGACTGGTGTTGGAGGGGGCAAGTTTACTAGTGGAGTCGGCTACATGAAAGAGGCAGTCTGGGAGGGGGAATCGAGCTTTTCTGTTTCTGGCACATAGCCCTGTAGCAGCTGAGGTCCGCAGCAACTGCCTGCCCACCTCTGGGAACCTCTCTGTATTGGGGTCTTGCGCCTTGAGTGCTAGCCAATGAGGGACCACTGCTTGAGTCCTAGCCAATCAGGGACCACTGCTTGAGTCCTAGCCAATCAGGGAAAACCACCTTAAAACCCAAAAAACCCAGCCTTGATCTTCACAAGAGCTGCCTCCTAGCAGCAGCAGCAGCAGCAGCAGCAGGTGGGGCAGTTGCTTCCCTGCTCTCACCTGTTCCGTGGGGTAGACTCCCTGGGTGTCTGTCCCCAGCCCATCCTGACTGCACTGTTGGATAAACCTGTTTGCGCTGCCTCCTCCGACCTCCTCCCACCTGTCCGCTCGTTGCCCACCATGCCACGATCCTTTCTAGACACCAGGATCTGCCCACCATCGGGCTCCTGGCGGACCCCAGCAGCACCAAAGTCACGCTGACAGGCAGATGGCGCAGATTTGGCAAACGGTCGATCGCTTTTCCATTTCAGTCACCAAACTGTCGCATTGCTGAGTGATCATCGCAGCTTTGCACAGGGGCTGAGCCGCTCGGATGCTCCGGGATCCTCTCTCTTGATCCTTGAAGATAGTGCTGCTGGTGGACAAGCTGTCGCCTAAGGCTTTGCCAGTGGCTTTGCCACAGGCCTTTCCCTTGATGAGTTCCACTTTAGTCTCAGTTGGGATCGTCAGCTGCAGCACCAGGGCTTTGGTGGCATGGGGACAAGGATCCCAGGGAGAAAAAAAGGGCAGCCCAGGACAGACTGACTCTATCCCACCCCCACCCCCAGCCAGGCGGCAAGGATTTAAATGGCCCCTTCCTCCTGCGCAGAGGCCGATGTGACAATGACCCGCTGCCATCTTGTCGATGCTGACTCACAGCAGTGACCCCCCTGTGGGTGCCCGAGACTGTAACTGCTTACAGGCGTAGAAGACCCCGTGTTTCTCCCATGGAGCT